AATATCTAACACTTATGTCAAGTCAGTACGTGTTTCTCGTGGCTCAGACACACCCGGAATCCACGTTACCAAAAGCGTTTTCAAAAGGCTAGTGTAGTCTTTCATCAACACCTGCCATCGCTCACCCGATACTGAAGATTGGGTGACTTGTCAGAGAGCAGAAAGAACTGTGGCAGCAGGCCGACGAAGAACTATTAGTTGGTAAATATTCAGAAGGAAGTCGAGATGGATTGGACATACTCTGGGGAGACATTCGACGCTCAATCCAGTTACTCTCCACTCGACGACCTAGCATGTGATATCACTCGAATGTCTCCCCAGAGTATGTCCAATCCATCTCGACTTCCTTCTGAATATTTACCAACTAATAGTTCTTCGTCGGCCTGCTGACACAGTTCTTTCTGCTCTGTGACAAGTCACCCAATCTTCAGTATCGGGTGAGCGATGGCAGGTGTTGATGAAAGACTACACTAGCCTTTTGAAAACGCTTTTGGTAACGTGGATTCCGGGTGTGTCTGAGCCACGAGAAACATAAGTGTTAGATATTCACATCTCGTTCCTTGTGCAGAGTAGTGGGGATTTCGACACTGATCTCGGAGTAATTAACGTCTATCTTGCTCTCCTGATTTAATCTTGACTGACTTTGACATCCTGATATGTGACAAGTGTGGTTGGAACGATTCTGCTGAGGTGAATGAGAGGGGCAAATTCCTTCAGATTTCTCCAACTGGTTATGAGTTTATTTCTATGGGTCAGTGATAATTAAAACTTCAGTTGACTTTGTCCGCTTTATCAAGAACAGTAGACAGAAATAGTCACAAGATATGAATTACAAGCTTCTTTCAAATGTTGCTGGCAAGACTCATGATTAATTTGCAAACTTCAGTGTGAAACTGCAGCTCTACTAACGCTTAGGTTTTAAAAATCAATTCAAATTAAGTCATTGAAACTGAGGCAGATGTTTTCACGCCATTATTACAAAAGGTTTGGAAGGAAGGGAAGATGCCTACTGACTGGAAGAAAGGCTACCTCGTCAAGCTGCCAAAGAAGGGCGACCTAGGCCTGTGCAAGAACTGGCATGGAATAATGCTCTTGCCCACGCCAAGTAAAATACTAAGTCGCATCATCCTGGAAAGAATGAAGGATGCACTGGACACAGAACTCCTCCCGGAACAAGCTGGATTCAGAAAAGGCAAATCATGTGCTGATCAAAATGCAAACCAACGCATCGTCATCACAGAACGAAGGATGGAATGGCAGTCAAACCCCTACTTCAACTTCATCGACTTCGAAAAGGCCTTCAACAGACAGCGCTGACTGAGAAGTAATTTGGAAACTACTTCAACACTACGGCGTGCAGTGCCCAAGTCTTTATCAACCTCATTCAACAGCTGGCTGTATGACAATGCCACGTGTCAGGTGATCCACAACGGAAAACTTAGCGAGGTGTTCGAAATGAATACAGGAGTAAGACAAGGCTACCTGCCTATTATCACCGTTGATATTCCTAATTTTGGTGGACTGGATTATGCGTCAGATTATTCACAGGGAGTCAGAAGACAGGAGTACGTTGGACCACCGATAAGAAGACTCTGGATTTCGCAGATGATATATGTCTAATGTCACACAAACTCGAAGACTTACAGGCGAAAACCAACAAACTGGCTGAAGAGGTAAGCAGAGAAGACAGCACTGCAGGTGAACATAGAGAAGACGGAGGTGATGAAGATAACCAACGAACAGCAGCAACAACAACCAGCACCAATCACCATATACGGGGGAGAATTAAGTGTTTACTTCCTCTGTTTATCTAAGAAGCATGGTTCCAGCTACAGGCAGTCGGAACGGATGAAAATGTCAAAGCCTTCATCAACCTGAAACCAGTTTGGAAATCTTCTGCACTAAATTAGCCAGCATAAAGAACAAGGTTCGGATTTTCAACACCAATTTCAAGTCGGTCAGTGCTTCTATACGGGTCAGAAACTTGCACTACGTGAGTGTCATGAAAAGGATTTCTAACAGTCTGTTGCAGACTTTCGTCAACCGCTGCCTTCGCCGGCTCCACACTGAAGATCAAATGGCCAGAAAGAATTAGTAACAAGAAACTCTGACTGGCAACAAACCAATAAGCAAGAGCCAATTGCTCAACAAATATGTAGGAGAAAGTGGAGCTGGATCGGGTATACATTAAGGAGACCATCGAATGACCCTCGAGTTGGAGGCAATCGGCAGAAAGCCATCTAATATCATCAAACCAATGTGCACCGTGATGGCGAGCTACCTAGAATGGTGGCCACATTGCAAACCTGACTGATAGAATTCAGTCTGCATCAAAGAAAGGACTAGACACATTACACTAGTTAGTGACTAGTGTCCAATCAAAAATATCCAATACAGTCCTACAGGAGGTCAGTCGCGAGTCTGAATAGCTCAGTGGTAACGTCTCTGACTGCAGTCAGCACTGGTTGACGCGGGTTCGAATCTCAGAAGGGACACGAGTTCCTCCAAGGTTGCAGATACGCCTTGTTGACTGGTGAGTGCCAACTAGCACGAAACCTAGGTCCAAGGCTTCCTGTGGCGATTGCCTCCAACCATCGAATATCATCAAATAGTTAACTGTCTGGAGAATAGAGCTGTCGTATGTATTTTTATTCTTTCCTCTTTATTGTCGCATTTAGTGCGTTTAAATAGCACATGTAGCCAGCGAAACTCCGTATAATTTGTTAGTTACAGATTCTTATTCTCAACTGGAAGGACTCAATAGTGATAACAGATTCCGTAGGAATGTCAGTTTTTACTTTTCTTGTTTCACTCCCCGAATAGAATAATCGAATAGAACATATTCAAAATTAAGGAATTAGATAGCTTCACCGTGAAAGAGACTCAAGTAACGTAGATAAGACATGAGGTTAACAAGTTTAAAAGGCAATTTTTTTTCAAAAATCGATAGAATTTATTTGTAATGTTGCACCAGCAAAGCATAAAACGCTCTTAATATAGATCATTATTTCAATTATACCATCCATTGAGCTTGTTATATTTTTCTGTCAACTAATGTCAACCAATTTGATAACTGGATTCCACTACACACCGAGCATATGCCAACTAAATTAATGGTGACAAAGACTAAATTAATAGAAAATACCTGAGTATCCATTTACTAATATTTACAGCAGCAATTATGACCTGATAGTACAACGGCTATACACTCAGATAGAAGAATCGTGACCTGGATTTTGTGCTTTGGTGGTTTAATGGTGGAATGCTCGTCAGCCACGCGAGAAGTCCGGGTTTAATTGTTGGTGACACACACTCCTCAACCTAGCCTAACCAGTGGTAAACTCAGAGAAGAGAGAAAGTTGGACATGAAGCTATCGACTCCACTCCACAGAAAACAACTTCACTGCTACTGAAACCTTAAAAGCTTGAAGCCCTATGTTCCACTTGAGGAAGTAAGGAATGGATGAATGCATATATGTATATATCTTCGCCGAAAAACTGGAAACCTCTGAGACAGTAGGTTGTTGATTGAAATGCTCCACTTTGTAATGCATGATTAAATGACATCCAGAATTTCACCTCAATAGTTTGTGCAGCAAGATTTAATTCATTGTCTAACATAAGAAGTTGTACGCATTTGGTGAATCGTAGTCATGCATTTAATGTGCGTCGGTGGCACATTGGTTAGGACTCTCGCCGACCATGCACATGGTCCGGGGTTCGATCCCCTGCCGACGCACACCCGATATCTATGGTCGGCCTACAAAATTTGGGCTACCGATATCCATGCTGAAAATTCCATACTTGTACTGAAAAGACGGTGTGGCATCAAGCTGTAATCAAAATAAATAAATAAAAAATAATGGTAATGAGCATAATCTGACGCTTGTTCTAAAATATTATTGACAGTATCCTATCAAGAACGAAAACAAGTACAAGTCCAGCTGACAAGCCTTTTGTAACTCTTAGCGACGATATAAAACGCTTGTGTGGTATTCGCTAATCTACATCATCTCTGAAGTAGGTGTAATATCCTCCTACCAATCAAAGGACGTGTGTACTACAAAGCAGCAGTTTGCTCCGTCCTCCTTTATGGCTGTTAGACATGACCATTGAAAGTGCAAGATATGCAAAGACCAGCTGTCTTTCGTCACAGATGCTTGCGTTCTATCTCTCGTGTTAAATAGTATAATATGCTTAGAAATACTGCGGTTAGAAGTAGTGTTAGTTAAGGAGGGAATGTCGATCGATGGGGATTTGAAGCTACATGGATTAAGGTGGTTAGGACACGGTTGCGTATCCCCAATCACCGCCTTCTTCAACGAGCAATCTTAGTTGACATAGAGTTGGCTTGCAAAAAAGAGTTAGGGGCTGTCAAACCAAAACCTAGCACCAATCTCTGAAGTCTTTGACAGTTGGTTCGAACCAGACATGTAGGGAGGTTTAGGTCTCCTGGTTAGGGGTTCTCAGGATGATAAGAAGCAATACCTTGAAACAGTTAGTGATACGGCTCAAAATTATTCTCAATGGCGCAGATGCAATCACTCTTTATGATCTTCTACGTTACTATTCTTTGTCCCTCACATTTCTGTTTATTATTATCATTGATCCTTTCGAATCTCTTTCTTGTCTACCATTGAACTACATGGAGTGTAACAACAAGCTGAACTGCTGCTCTTCCGTGCTAATTTCTACGCTGAAACTCAATCAGTGACAAGAAATGCCGGAGTTTTACACTAACCTAAAGTTGACAGACTTCATTTGTAATCCTATTTGATTACCACTGGAAATAAGACTTTGAGAGCTACACACACACATAACACAGTCATTTAGAAACGCCGAGCTTACTGCTTATATCTCTACAAACTCAGAGAACTAGCCATCTCTTCCAGAGAATATTTTATAACAAAATATCAGCCAGTAGTGAACAGTTGGGGGGGGGGGGGAAATAAAAAGATCTGAAGCAATAATCCCATGATGGTATTGGCAGAAGTTTATCATTAGCATCTTGTATATGTATATAATATGTACATGGTGTCATTTATGTGCACGAAAAAAGTTTTAAATAATTAAAGTAAAATGTTCACAAGAAGAAAAAAAACAACAATATATCAATATTACACTCAGTCCCTTTAACTGAATTTTTGCAACCGTACTTTACACAGTGTCGTTCGACTTCAGCGAAGATACATTATTCCCGTTAGATATACTTAAATCTGCCAATGCTTCAATAGTATCCGAAACCTGTAGATTGTCTGAAGGCAAAGTGTTGGCAGAATCTAACTTGTCACTTGATAGTTGTGGACTATGGCAACCAGAATCTGGAATCTCGCCTTTCTGTTTCGGAACTGATTTTCCCACAGTACGGCAGTTACCAACAGCAGTGCCAAACTTAATTGGTCTTCCTTTGCTTTGCCGAAATGAAACTTGAAGTCGTCGACCAGATAAAAGCAATCCATTCATTACATCTATGGCATTTTGTGCACTCTGGAAGTTACTGTAAGTAACAAAGCCAAAATTTCGGGAAGTGTTTGTCTTGTAATCTTTTGGTATAGAAACACTGACAACAGGTCCAAACTGAGAGAATAAAACATAAGTCTGCGCTTCTGTCATGTTCCCAATATTATATATGTAAACAGATGTAGATTCGTTCTTATCAGTCTTCATAGGTTTTGGTCGACCGAAATACGATAATTCATTTGGTTGCCTACAAGCCATATCAGAATTTTTAACGGGAATATTGGACTTAGGTTGATTGGGAGCAGGATAAAATGTGTTCTGTACGTTAGTGAATATAGGACAACCTTGAACTGAATTACCATAGCTTTCGAGCTGATTGGTGCATAAAGCGGTTAAAGGAATTTGACTGAGGTAGTTTTGTTGAAGAGGTAACCAGAGATTCGGGTAGGGTTGTTGAGAATAGATGTATGGGGTCACGTAGTTGGGAGCTACGCTTAAGGCAGAGGCGGGATTTTGATATTCAGCATTGGAGAAATCATTACTCCACAATAAACCCTGTGGATTCAGTTGCGGTTGAATATTGGAAGACTGTAGTAATGATCCTTGGACAGAATTAGCTAATGCTGAGCATATGTTGTTTGGGATGAAAGATAATTGTGGACCTGAGGGTGCGTAGACCTCTGGAGCTGAGGTTTTGTTCTGGGATGGTAATTGGGTAGAAAGAGGATCAATGAAGCAGTCGGTGCGGAAGTTCTGATTTATAAATGGCCTCTTAAAATTGTTTCTAGATTTTGATGGATTTACTGACTGTCGATAAGGTGGAGTAGCAAACTTTATTGATAGTACTTGGATATCGGGAAAACCAGGCCAAGGTCGTCCATCTAGCGAACGTTTGGCTGCCTCTGCATCAGAAGGATTCTCAAAAAGTACGTATGCACTTCCCTTAGAAACATTAGTTTCATGGTCCCGTAGTATACGGCACTGAACAACACGACCAAATCGTCCAAACTCAGTTGTTAAATTGTCTTCAGTAAGAGTAACTGGAAAGTTCTTAACATACAAGTTTGAGCTCTGAGACAGTCGTCCTTGCAACTTGGCCAAAGAAACCTTCAGAACTTTATCGGCTATGCGGTAACCATTGAAGCGTGAAATTGCCTTATGAGCAGAATCAGAATCTTCATACTCACAAAATCCAAAGCCAAAACTCGATCCACTATTCCTATCCCGAATTATTCGACATGTTTTGATGGGACCAACAGACGAAAATAAGTGAGTCAAATCGGCATCTGTTATAGAAGTTGGGATGTAGTTGATGATTAAGTTGCGATCATGATAAACAACCATCTTGAGGGCTGAAATTAAAGAAATCGTCAGATTTAATATTTGATTACGTAATAAGTAGTTTTAGAAAGTAGCGTTTTGTTGAAATACCAAACCAATTGTCAGCTACTTCGGAGAATAAAAAAAATATTAAACGCCAGGCAGCATAAATATGTCAAACAGAACAAACCCGTCAAAATAATGAATGTATTACCGCATTGTTGAACGATGTGAACTGGATGGTTTGATAATAAAGTATTTTTCTTCGCTCATGAAGAACATGTAAGCAATAACACGGAACTGATGTTAATAATTTATTAGAGCTATTAGATTAGAAATTAAGTGTCAGCGTACAAAGTGGCTGACTGTTAGTCTAAGTTACGTGGAAGGCCATGGTGCCTATCTTGGCATCTTGATATGCTGAGAACCAATGGTCGCAGACCACTGGTGACACAACCTAGAGTCATTCGAGGCAAAAAGGATGTCTGTACATTTTATCACCCTCCAGATCCTGAAAATCACTACTCTCTCTTCTGCATACAGCTTTGACCATCCTAACTTCACTATCGTTTTAATCTGATGTGTGCTTTCCCGAGGAGTAATAAGTTGAACCGATACATCATGTAAAGTTTTAGGTTGTTTAGTCGACGTAATAGACATTTGTTATGTGTGGAAAGAGACCTAATCGATAAGGTTGTGAAACTGCATCCATTTGAATGGTTGTGACACGTGTTGCGCAGGTCGAAGTATCGCCTTCCTTGTCAAGTGTTAGCTGACGTAGAATTAGGTTAGAAAAGATATGGGCGGTCAAACCAAAAGATAGCATAAATTCATGAAGTCTTAGACGAGAGATTTCAGCCACCTAGGAAGGTGCAGACTGTATAGTTGTGGTCCTCGAGAAAGTATGTGGCGAATACTATGTCTTCGCAACGTCATTATACAGTATTGAATAGCCCGATTTGCAGTGATCAGAAACAGCTTGGCACTTTCCATAATAAATATGTAATACAATGTTTAGATGCGGCAATCTATGATTCCTAAAACATCGCAACACCACAAATCAAAAAATACATAAATTACTTGCGAAATAATTTCAAATTATCTAGTGGTTGAGACAAAATCTTTCAGTAATTATAATGGACTAAGCTTGTTTTAATCAGTATCCAGGTTTTTCTAACTGGAAGGGTTGAGTCATCTTTATTCGAAGTGTCGTTTGTTTCTAAAGTAAGAAACTCCAAAGAAAATTCCCTACAGATACCAAATACTTTTGTAATATCAAATAAGGACGCTTACTAGTGGTGTTTAGATTATTTTCCAGATACTTTGTCCTTTCAGTTAACACAACACCCACTGTAGGTTAGTATCTGCATATGTTTGTTTCATACCTGTGAAAACCAAATCTAAAAAACATAAACGAACTCAATGATTTTGGACTTACTGTTAACCCAACTGGGAATAAACATTTGTACTATGTTCATAAACTATCACAGACTTACAATCACTTCCTCTAACGGATTAATAAGTCATCATTACAATCGACAGATGTGAAACAAGATGGCATCATATGTTTTATTAGCCTTTGCTCTGACGACAGGTTTCTAAGAAAAAACCTAACACACATTGCACAAGAAACCAAGGCATGAAGAGGGTCAATAACAAGAGGTTAAGTACTGTCCAGTCTTGGCTTATTTCAAGAAAAGTACCAACCAGTCTGTACGAAGTAACGTCATTGTTACACCTAGGGGGAATTATACTATAGAAGCAGTGGTGGGAGATCTTACTCGCAAATCAGCTTTGAGAACCTGGACACTAAGCAAAAGTGACTCTCAATTTAAGTGGTATTAAAAGACGAAACCGGTCATTAGACTTTTGAGATTTCCTAATGAAACTTTTTTTCGATAGTGATATTAGGAGACGAACTAATCCGTTTGATTTTTTTCCTGAAAAATGCAGCCGATATTTTACTTATGGAACTTCTTTAGTAAATTGCATGGCTAATTCAAAATATATAAGAATTTATCACAATAAGTTACTCAACTCACGAACGAACCTCAGGTACAAGCGTGGCGTCAAAACGTGGCCTAATTTGTAAAGCCGCGTTTTATCTCTCCACAAGTATATGTATACAATAGTTCAATTTAATGCGACATGAAATGAGACATAATCTTTAAAATATTGTGTAACTATTTATAAGAATATATATCAATTGGTGTGATAAGCTATTTTAGTGCGTAAGAGATGAATAATCAATGATGCTGATGACAAAATGATTTCAGTTTATGGGAGAGTACATCAAACAGACACTTTTAATCTTGGCAACATTTAATTTTGTAAACATTCATTTGATTGCTGAAGATCTTCACTGGTGGAGATGATGTCATTCACATGTTTTTAGGGAATATGAGCTCCATTTACATACGGCTTTTCAGGCTCTCTTCAGTACCACTTAATAATCACATCTTGGTTTCAGATCTAACTTTTCCATATTTTTTTTTGATTTACAGCTTGATTTCCACACCGTATTTTCAGTACAAGTGTGGAACTTTCAGCATGGATATCGGTTGCCCAAATTCAGGCATACCATAGATATCGGGTGTGCGCCGGCAGGGGTTCGAACCCCGGACCATGTGCATGGTCGGCGAGAGTCCTAACCACTGTGCCACCGACGCACGGGGAAGGAAAGCCTTAACACTTACTGAGTATCACTAGGTCCGTCTTGGTAGTGACTGTTACTTTTTAAAGTAATTGGTGGCTACTTTCCCGTGGCATTCGTAGTGAGATCTTGCATGGGCTCGAATAATCTGGCATGTTGGTTGAAATTTCGCTCGGTAATAGCTTTGGTCAGTAATTTTCAACAAGATTGTGTTATACGTTTTCTGGTTTGATAGGAATTCTTATTTCCTAGCTGGTTATGTTGATGTCCACGTCATGTGATCTGACTGCAACACACTCTTAGCATACTGGTTGCAATGATTAGCGTTCCAGGTGGACTGTGTCAAAATATTGCTATAATGAGGAAGATGGGATAGCTTGAGGGTAATGTCATCTACACAAATCGTTTAATTCATGTAGAACCTGCAGCTTTCGGCATAGTATCATTCAATGAGGACTACACATCTCAGGATATCAGTGTGGCTATTTTCGTGTGAAGAGGAGTACTATTTGACAAAAGAATGCCACCAGTAAATGAGAATCACCTACAAATGCTAACAGTACCTTCCGTGGGAACAGAAGTTATCATGTAGATGTTTCCTTCACCGCATTTGTGTTTGGACAAGAATTATCGTAAGTTGAAAGGTTATCTCCAAGTGGATTTAATATATATTTACACTGATTGACGCAGTGCAATATGGGTTATGTGGATTAAATACATGAAAGATACATTTATTAATATTGTGCCATTGTCTTCTCAGCTGCAGCAGTCATGACTGCTAGGCTAAAAAGTGTAGATGGTTCTCGTAATTGCTGCAAATGCAGTGCATTAGAGAAGGCAATAACTCGTTTTATTTTCCTCTCTGTTTCACTTAGTGTGTTAACTCAGTGTACAGTATTATTACACGCACGAATTCTATTGATTATGAGAACTGAATCTAGTTAGCTCCATTATTATTAGTCTACCGTCTGTTATACCATTTCCACTGACACTGTATGCTCAGTGCTGCAATATTTTTGATCATCAATAGTGGAGATGAATTTCTCCTTCAATTTATATTTACATAAAGCAGTGCAGATGCATTATCACGATCGAATGTCTAGGTTGCATTATGTGACACTGTTATCCTCATCAACACAACTGGTCTGTGTATCTTGCAATATTTTAGGTGTTTCTCTATGTTGTTGATGTTTCTCCACATCAACAACATCTCCTAATCTCCACGAAAGCGTTTACAAGTATTTATCCTATCGCCTCAAATTACCCACTATTTGCGGTCATGTAAAAAGTAAAAATGAATTTACCAAAAAACAATGCGCTTATGATATCTAGATATCATAATGCACCGTGAGGAAAAAGCTATATCCGTAGGGTTATCACTGTTAGGCGGGCAATATTAATCCAGAACATTAAGACTACGATTCTCAGCCACAGAACATCCTACTTTGCTACCTAATTGTTTAATCGTATCAACAGATGTCTCGCCAAGAAAGAGAAGACCACTGGTTCAAGGAAAATTTATTTAAATTTTTCTTAAAAACCATAGACATCCGGATTTATAGCCACAGAGAAATCACAAATATCCGAAACATAAGAATTTCACTATTGGAACTGAAACAAACAATGTGTATTCAGCCGTTTTTACTCCGAATAATAATCAGCATCTCAGCTTGTCCTAACTTCCAGAAAACCACCTGTCGTAGACCGCAACCCGAAACGTTATTCTTGCTAATTAAAGTCTTAACTTTAATTGGGATAGTTCGTACACTCACCAAATCACCGTATGCTACCCGATTTTAAATCGTTTTGCAACATATAGAATGGCTGTTAGCACTGGCTTTACTACAGGCAGTCCTAGTTCATGTATTTGGATATAGCACATTAAGCTTTAACGAACATATATAACACTAGCCATTTGGATGTTTCTGATTGATTTCCAGTTTCTTTTTGTTACCAAAAATACATACAAGCACAACAGATTCACACTTCTCATGCGGCTCAACCTTGTTTGATTTGGATTCTCCCACAATATATCGGGTGTTTGTCTGCTGTCAACGGACACACTAATGGTATACTCACCTTCTCGAAAAGCTGCAAAGCTTTTTCAACTGCAACACAGGTTCTCAATTCTCCAGGTTTAATATGCTCTTCGAAAACCTTCCTAATATCAACTCTGATTGTGTTCTCCTCATCAGATTGACTCGTAGATTGTTTCATGCTATAAACATGAACGTGAAAGACATTACCTTTTCCAGATTCCTGCATATTAGGTAACCAACTGAGCCAGCAACAATAATGGCAACCAAGACATGAACCGAAAGCAACAGCTTCTGCCATGCAAACATGTTCATGTGCATTACTTCCAAAACGTCTACACGGTACTATTTCGTAAACAGCTGCAAGACAACTAAACATGGAAACCACTCATGATTGCAACGTATGAAACAATTACGACGAAATGAATGAACTGACCTGGCGATGAAACTTTCGAAACAAGCGAAACAACTAACTTAAAGAGCAACGGAAACAAAAATGAGGTGAAAAGTGTCATTTTTGAACAATGTGCATCAAGGTAAGTTGTGAATAACTGCAAGACAAATATGAAAGCCAATGTGTAAAAGAACAGTTAATGAACATCACTCCAGCATGGCCGACTAAAATGGACGAAAGTTACCTTCACGTGCCAAACATTTCGAATGACTTTGAGCATGCGGGATAATTTCATTCGGAAGGACGTGGTGTTTTAAATTTGTCCTAGTTTAAGTACAAAGTAACTTTGTCAAGTGAGCTGCCCAGTATAGCCTCTGAGCCTTTTCGCGTACTTTTTCTTGGCAATCTTGCCTCAACAACTGAATATAGAAAGTTATGTGAAAAACAGATGTTACCAAAATGTTACTGGAATAATCACAAGAGTTCTGATTTCATAAACTTTTGTGTAAAGAAAGACGGTAGACTAAATATACTCAATGTTTCATCAGTAGGAGCGAAAAGGTCCGTGCTATTATGGTCCATTAGTAGTGTGATCCTTCTCAAAATCTGCTCCCCTCACTCCTAACTTTTGTCTTCTTTTATGTATCTAGTTTTAAAATCATCCTTGATGACGCTGATTCCGAAAACCTGAATGTTCTTTAAAGGCCAAGGGAGTTGACGTTTACGGACAGTACGCAAGATCTAGTGCGCATAACTGCTATAGTATTCGTTCAGCGTAGTCTGAACGCAAAGGAAAACATCAGAATTGATAGTCCGAATTGCGAAGTATATTTCGGGAACAAATCGGAGTGCGAGATGATTGCTTACCTAGCTAGGGATCATGCACGAACAAACGTGACAAACGGCGTGCCAAATGGCGTGGATGCTTGACCGGAAGCCTTCAGCTACACAAGTCAGCTAAAACATTGAGGGTCAGCATCTACTGTTCAGCGATGAATGCTGTGGCCGCTAATTTTGGAGCATAACCTACCGCTACAGTTCATTTGGGAATGCCTAAATGAGCCATATTGTTTAACGCCTTATTGAAGTCCACAAACATCATGCCTGTGGATGCCATTAGTATATTTAATTTTCCTTTAGCGAGTACTTATCCAGACAGGCTCAGATACATTGTTTTGAATTTGCATCTTGACAGATGTCGCAACTAAGGAATTGAGGAAATTGGCAGAACTTCAGGCTTTTGATACGGGCGTAAACGAATTCCCGCCAATATCGTGGTTAAAATAACTTAATGTACGTCCAAGACGTATGGCATCATTATCTTCGGGCCAAATGGTGTCAGAAACTCTTCACAAACTATCATATCTCGTCTTATACGCTACACGCTCTGACAAGTTTGTCCCCGCTGAAACTAATCTTAATATCCGAAATTGGACGTTGCACTGGCATCACTCTAAAGTACGCAAACATATCGTTAGTCTAAATGGATCACTTGCCGCACATAATGCACAATTTTAGCTACGTTTACCAGGTCATAACTGGTCAGCTACCCCCCGCCAGTGGTTACTGGTACCTACTGGCTTGCGTAGATCTCCGGCAAAGAGCTATCCCTATACCAAGTACCACAGTCCAGTCCTCGTGGAAAGATGGATTGCTGTCACTGTACATTTCCCACCAATCTAGGGCAGCAGTAATAATATATAACCCTGGAGGAGAAACTAAATTTATTAAGAAGTTGACGCGTTCAAACTATGGTATGCTTCCCAAATGCCGATGGACTGGCGGTTTGCCCTTATAGACAAATCAGAGCACTTCTAATGGCCTTTAAGCGTTGGGTTACTCCTAAGATAAACCTCAAATATCCGCACTCACTGAATACCTCTCCACTTAATTACCTTATCAATACTCTACCTAACGCATGCGTACTGACTAACGAAATCAAAGTAAAAGGACTTGGAGACTGGAAATGTGTCTTGAAGGGAGTTGTATTTTACAC